CTTTACGTAGCTGTGCTACCTGAAAACAAAAACATGAGTTGGTTGTATACAAATTTGTATTTTATAAACATTGTACTTGAATTTAAACAGCCTTTACCTCCTTGGCTCTAGCTGCCTCAGCCTGAGCATGTCGCTTAGCTTCCGATCGCATGCGTTGTACTAGTTTGACCTGCAACAAAAATTACATTTATTTAATATATTTGTATTTATATTTTATTCAAGATAACCAATGATTTCTTATATTTACGTGAATACTAGATTTGAATAAAACTATTTTTACGGATGCTATCATGTATAATTTTACTTATTTTTATTTTTTTTATTCCCGATGTATCGTTTCCCCGTAAGACCATGGGTGCTGCAAGGCATTCGAAAGGTCGGGAATTAAAAATAAGTAAAATTAAACGTGTAAAATACACAAAAATAATTTTATTCAAGATAGTAATCAAGTATTGGCTTAAAATACTTAAAAAAAGCTTTGTCCCCTTCCCTTAGGTTTCTAACACCATGGGCAAATGCTTCCGCAGACCCGCTTCATGGAGGCAAAGACGAGTTATGTTGGACTCGCATAGACTAAAGCCCTATTGTTTTCTACCTTTATCGCATATAGACTAGGCTACAAAAACGCTTACGCGCACATGTGCGATACGCGATTACACCAGCGTCGGCTAACCGGAACACAAGGCATGTTTTTCTCTCCCGCTTCCCTCTCCATCTGCGCAACAGACCTCAAATCCATATAACCTCGGAAAAACAAGTACTTCTAGTGAGTGCCAGTCTTTTCGGCCCCAACTGCGGATCTAGTCTACGGCTCTATGGTATGTCTCGGCTTTTGGCCACAGAGAGTAGGGAAAATTTCGCAATATGAACACTACTCTCTCCCCAAAAAATGTCACCTTGTCGCGCTTGAGGTTCTGCAGCTCCGAGCGCAGCGTGTGTATCTGCTGCGCGGTGTGTCCCTGCGCGCGCTGCAGCCTCGCGTGCTCTCGCTGCGCTGCCTGCAATCGCCGCAGTTCACGCGACATCGTTGCGACCCGCCGCTCGTACTCCTCCTTCACTCGCTTCAGCTTCTCGCTTGGGGGCGACGATTGCGCGGCTGTCAACACAGTTTATATCTTATAAATATGAACAATTCATGATAGTATACTATATTACAAAAATACATATTTATATAAAGATAGAAAAACAATGTAAGATTTTTTTTTAGTAATGGACTCATACTGTTGCACTTTTGCCAGTGTCAAGTAAAAAGAAAATATCGTTAGTTATAATTTATTTTAAAGTGTCTTTACAATAAGTTTGTTCGCGCCACTTTTGCACTACCGCCTAACGCTCATGTGATTCGTTAATTTTGTCCAATAAGAGAGAGTACTGCAAATAGTCGAGTCGTATAGTATCAAAGACGGCAAAGTAGCTCGAACCAAATTTTCGGCAAACCAAAAAAAACTGCATATTCTCATTTTTAGACGAGGATATTAATTTTGGATGTTTCATTGTGATTTGTGGTTATGACAAATATCAATAAACACTAAACCTATAGCACAATATAGTCCGAAGGCACCATAATATTTAAATACAGTTACTAGATTGCCGCTTTTGATAGTCAACTTAGTTAATGAAAATGCTGTACCCCATACTAAACACTTAGAAAAATCAACCATATAGTATGGGACCCAAATTTTTAATTCAATTAAAATCAATTGAAAATAATTTAACCTACATAAATTAGCTGTACTTGATCAACAGAATCAGCCCCTTAAGTATTATTTTACATTCTGTATACACAATCACGTAACGTTCAAATATGCAATATATAGTCTTAAATACATTGAAATAAGTTAAAAAAACCTAAAATAATAAACTCTTACTAGAAAAACTAAAATAAACAAGGTTTTATTGAGCCGGGGTCGGTCGTAAGTTCTATTATTTTGAAATATAATGTACATCATAATTCAAACATGTAATTCAATAGTATCGCAAGTTGATTCGTTGCAGAAACTTTCTTCGTTTTGTGGAGCCACTAGTTCTTCTTGTGTTTGGAGGAGTTCATTATAAAACATTAAAGAACGTAAAGCTGCTCAGATCCGAAATGTTTTTGGAGAAGTTTATTTATATCCTGTGTTACGAGTCGCTACCGGAAACACACGAGTAATGCCGAGCGTGCCGGCGCCGCCCAGTTTGCAGAGGTTCAGGATTTAGCATAGATATTTTGTTTATTTCGTTGACATATGTTTTCAAATTTACCTAAATCAGTTTTATAATTTAGTTCTCCACGAACCAGCACATTTCCAGCTTTTTTATTGCCCTTTTAATATAAATCTTTGACCATGACGTAGTTTGTTTAAGCACTTTTCTGACTGTGTCCCTCAATCACTCACAATACAATTGCTTCCGAATTTCACGATACTTGAAGATTCTCTAATAATCTCATTTGGATGTAGAATAACTTCCTTTTTTTCAGTTTTCTTTCAATCATACCAAACTGTCGGTCCAGAGGCATAAAAGAATGACCAGTCATCTCGAAATATCAATTCAATTGTATGAATACAAGGGTTTTTCAATAGCCATTTAGAACAAGTCCCCAAAACTATAAGGTTTATGTTTTGCCCACCGCAACCGTCAGCGATCAATCGAATATGTGTGATATCGGTTTTGTCCGTTGCGGTGAGTCTATGATATACAGTAGATGCAATAAGATTAGAATCTTTATTGTACTCATTTTCGGTACAAACGTAAACAAAAACATTGTACTTTGTAACAATGGATTCTTCAAAGTACCCTCAACCATCGTAAGATTATAATAATATAGTTGACGAATGTAACATGTTGTCTGGTCAGGCAATTTCGGAGGGGGCAGGTTTTTTGACAGTGAAATGAAATTACTTTCACATGTTCAGGTGGACTGCCCAATTTTTCAAAAAATGCTTTCGCTCGCTAACTATTAACACGTTTTTTTGTCATCAATAATTTTTTCTTAATTGGGTCTATTTCAATTTAAATTTTTTCCTTAAGTTCCAAGAACGTAGAGCACACATAGGTCTTTGGTGTCCCAAAACCAATATTATACGATGTGTTAAAAACATGGCGGAAATAGAACAACTTCACTAGAGGATGTACATATTCACTTACTTTGTACATTTTTAATTATTTAGACAAATCTAATTCGGATGGTAGATATTTTCGTTCAGTTGTTTTCGTTTTTCTACAGTAGTGAGACTATACATTACAATGTTGCAATGTAGTTGTACATATATCGTTTTTAATCAGCGAACTTTGCTATTTTGCGGTCTCCTCTACGATACTAGATGCTCAGTACGAACTTCCCCAGTGTAATAAAACTTTTTCATGACAAATGTCACTCTGTGTTTGGTAATCCCAATAATATGCAAAAAAAAATATTACAGACAGGTATTCTCGTCTTGTTAACAATCACTCCATATTTTATGGTAGTTTGTTTCTTCTCTTTATATTTGTGATGATTTTTACTGGTACGGTTAGCCGACATTATTTTACATAATTTTAAGAGTATAGCATCTTGGTCTGTTTTATTCGTATGGGAATAAAAATTTTGATACTATACGACATAGTCCATTTCCGGATTTCCTATCTACCGACTTTTAAGCTTTTAGCACGCACGTTCTTGTGTTAACGAGGCTCCCATAAGTTCAGAAGACACGAAACCAACCGCACAAATAACCGCTTCTATCTCGCGCCATTGCACCCGCCTTTATGTAATTTAGATATTAAACTATACCAAATTATCGTAAGGTGTATAGACATTCAGAATAACGCTACGATTATCTCTGTAGTTTATATGTATAAAAAAAGCCGCCGCCAAATCATTGTCATAGCAGCCCTTGAGACACGAGGCAGATCAGCATAAGTCCAGGTAAGTGCGCATGCATTCTTTCTTGTCCGTTCTGTAGCCCGAATTTTGGGCATTTGCAGTATTGCGAATTAGTAAATTCTACAGTCTAAATTTAATTTAGGCATAACCATCCTTTTTAATAATGCTGAACCAGCAGTTGGTCATTTAAATCAACACACCAAAGTTGATACGTCATATTACAATGTTCTTAGGAGATTTTGACGGCAGCCTGAGCCAGCAAACAAGTCGATGTCGATAGTATCTCCAGGTGTATCTCAAAGCAAACAAAATAACTTAAGGCTCACATCACCATCGGAGCACCTGCTTCATCGTTCCCACTAATAGTTCACACGCTTTGACATTTAACACATAAAATCGCACTACTTTTGCATATCAAAACCCACTTTAAACCGTTATTCAAACGCTAATAGAAGCAGCAATTCACAGGCTGTGAAATTCACGCCAAAATTCCGTATGATTATTTAAGACTACTTATAAACATTAATAGCGGTAGCGAAGCCTCCATAGAAGCCGAGAAGACGGGCTTGCCCTATCAAACTGCTCAATGAATAATATCAACTAATAAAATAACACGTTAACTGTTTCAAACTATTTCAAATTACTCGCGCGCTCCTCTGTCCTACACAGGTCATTAATCGTCGCGGCAAAATTGCGCGATAATGCTGTCATAAAAAAGGACTCCCTTTCTAACCTGTGTCAAAATGTTCTATAATGAAACATAGCTACGATTGTTTATATAGCAATTAGTATGAAGCCAAAAGCCTGGCTTTAGGTATGAAGTTAGTCGAGCGCGGGGGCGCGCGAGCGATACGTTTGCTACTTCACTTCACATTTCAATGTTTACCCTGTGTGTTTACTTGAGCGAATTAATATTGCTAGTTGAAAATTTGTTTTTTTATAGATTTTTAGTGAAAATGGAGGATAATAGTGTTCCTTGTGATGAATTGAATGAGTGTTAAAGTGCTAATCGGCGAGGAAAAGGTAAAATCTTTAAACTTTGTTGAGAAATACGAGTATATATGCATATGTTTTCACCAACGACGTAATCAAATCTTTCCTTAAGAAAGAGAGACGATTCGATTTAGAATATAAATATTTCTTTTTTAGTTTTGTACATAGTTTGTTTGTACTTCGTTCATGTTTTTCTTTTCTTCATGTATTGTATTGTATGTAAATATTTTTTCTTTTGCTCAAGCAAACTCAAACGGCTCTTTTCAAAGCCAACCGAAGTATATATTGTATGCAATTGCTGATAGATATGTCATACAAGTCAAGCTTTGTTAAACACATCCTTCCTCGACGGCACTGAATATGAAATTGAAGAGTGGAGACAGATCAAGATTGGTGTATTTTTATAAAACTGCTAAAAACAAGAAAATCATATCTTGGGCTTGCCCTAGTTTGGAGCCCTAGCTTCGCTACTGATTACTAGGAATGAAAATTACACGTAATATAGAAAAAACTTGCCAAAATATTAGTCTACGACATATCATATTTAACAGATATTGCCAACATACTTGTGTCAATTATAATGATAATATTATAATCCATCATTCCGATTATTTATTATTTTAGGGATGTATAGACATTTAAAATGTTTCATAAATAAAATAAATTTTTCAGCTCAATGTAACTAACATGTAGTTTTTTAATATAATTAAAATATCTATATAAGAGAAAACGTATCAAATTCTTTAACTATATCAATGTTACCGATATATCGGTGCAACCATAGACTTCCTAACTTTCGCATCGAGCTAACGTACCAAGTGTAGCAAGCACTTTGTCGCGTTCTTCCCCGGTGGCCTTGATCTGGTGGTGGAGAGTATCGAGACGTTGCTCGTAGTGCGTGCGCAAGGCCGCCAGCCGCCGCTGCGACGCCTCCAGTTGCTCGATGAGCCGCGCCTTTGTATCGATGTCTTCGCTCAGTGCTGCCAACTGGGCTGTTAGTATGCGTTGACCTGCCGATGAGATGAGAATGACAAAGTGGAATTAAAATGTCGCGTTTTGTGGAAAGATTAAACTATTATAATATTTTGACTTTGACTAAACTATGTGGTAAAGCAACGCTTCAACGTGTTATGGCTGCAATATTAATGGTTTGACTTGAACGGCTAAAAACCCTTTGTTGTCGATATTCCAAGCATTAGAACCAAACGGTTTGCTCCGTCTCTTGTAATGCTTACAGCAAGGGAGTGAAATAATTTGCCAGCGTCTATCTTTCCATCCAAATTCAATCTGGGCGTCTTCAAGGCAGGAGTGAATAGGCTTTTGTTACGCTAAGACAGTGCGATTTACTATCTAAGGCTGCATCACCACTTACGACCAGGTGGGATTGTGGCCAAGCACTGGTTTATAATAATTAAAAAAAAAACCACGCTCGTACAGAATACTAGTGTGAAATAAAAGCTTTGCTGCTGTGTTTGGTGAGTGATAAGAAACGGAGATACATTTTACACATAACGAGACATTCCATCTTAGCCTTCAGGAGTGACAATTCTTCTGCATTTTGATTCTTAATTGCGAATATATATTATGTAGTATGTGTTTATGTACCATAGCATCCACAAATTCCTTACTTCTACAAAGGTTATAATTTAAAATTAAAAATTTTGTACAACCGACTTCAATATAAATTATTAAGAATAACTCAAAAACTGGTCTATCCTTGATCAAATTTATATATGACCACATGTTAAGCACCAGCTTTCAAATAAAAAAGAATCATCGAAATCGGTTCACCCAGTAAAAAGTTATGAGCTAACACACATAAAAAAAACATACAGTCGAATTGAATACCGGCTCCTCTTTGAAGTCTGTAGATAAATTTGTGAGGTTCTATCAATCGAAATGCTTAATTTATCTCACAATAATCATAATTACTTTATTAACATTTTTAACACCAAGCACGGTCCTGATCCACCTGAATCCCTTAACACTTAGGACCTCAAATTGTCATTCCATCTAGTTGATGGTTGCCTTACACTGTACTCGAGAAACATTCGCGAACCTTTCTTCTCACACAATCATCACACATTAGATCGGTCGTTATTTTGGTTCGTTCGGTTATTATTTTGGTTAATTTGTATGTTGCTCTTTGCCACTCTTTTTAAATCCATAGCCGTACATAAGCCTCTTACAAGAATGCACCATTAGACAAACATTTATTTAAAGTATTCGACTTATTTAACCACGGAGGGCAGGCGGGCTGTAAAGGTCGGGATGCAACACTCGCATTAATATCTAATTATGATTACCAGTGAGAGTTTCTCGTCTTGTCTTTCCCTTCACCAGTCAGTGAGTTTTACTTTTGAAATCTTTTAATAGATTTCTCGATGTAAGCCAGTTGTCAGAGTTTCTTTCAGCAATCAGCAGAAATAGACATTAACATCAAATGAATAATAAACACGTTGAATTTTCTGAATCATAACAATCGTAACTATAGTTATTTATATACTCGTAGCTTGAAAGACAATTACTATAATATACAGTTAACAACGCTAACCGACACTAGCTAAGCAGTCTTGAGGCGGGGGTTACCCACACCCCCACTCGCAAAGCGGTTAGATAGCTCAATAAACATCAACAGAGGAGACATGATGATTGGTAACAATACCAATTCATAAACCATCATCATCCTCATCCCCATTCTAATTACCACTAGAAAGAGAGGTATAATATTTGACAGATTTCATAGCAGGAAAATTAATTTGTACGGAAAATGTAAAGATTATTATTTCTTTCTGCACTATTAGGTATATTTTATATTAATAAGATTAAAAATAAATAAACTAAACCACAGATATTCATAAAAGTACAAAAAATTAAAAAAAGTTAAAAATGTGCAAAAAAATTAAAGAGCAAACCACCGACGCATTGTTTGTGTATTAATTTAATACTGTAGAAACTGATAAACTTTTATTAAAAACCAACTTCTCAATTAAATTACACTTTGTAACAAATAACTTTACCTCAGTGTCAACTAGCGACATCTGGCGAGCAGAAAATTATTAGCCCTCATTGCCGCCTTTTCCTTTTTTATATAGCTGGAGGAATGAAGCTGTAGCAGCCGCATAGGCTAACAGCACTTACATCAACGAAAATAGAGCTGCACAAAATGTTTTATATTATTGGATGGCGTCGAAAATTCACAAAAGTCTTGATCAATACTACTTTATACTTGTGATTGCTGTAACGTGTCGGAATTTAATTGCCGTTAATTATTTAGAACATTCGTACTTATTTCCACACTTTTTTATAATCATTAATTACCCATTTAGAAGTCGCGTTGATGGATCAATGTTTTCGGAAATTCGTAAGGCTACCATTTTAAAATGTCATAACTTAGCATGATATTTTTATAAACATAAATATATCCTCCTAACAGTTAATTCTATTGTTATAGACAGTCAAATACAAAATACAATAGAAATAATGTAAAATGTGTAAAGGAATGCCGACTCTACATTTTTTTAAAAGACCTTGTTTTTGGCGCGCATATTCGAAAATATCGATACGATGAAGAACTAATAATTATATCGATTCCAAATTAACGTTTTTCGCATAGTTGTTTAACGAGCATCCGCATAATGGATTCCTAATAAAATCGATTTTGTAGTTTTATAGTAACACACTCTAAACAGTTTTGGCTTTACCGCGGGTGTAGGCACAGCTTCTTGACACTATCGACTTTCGCCAGTAAGAATATATTTCAAATTAATCATAAAAATCCTCAACAAAAAATCAAAATGCAGATGCGTGCATTCCTAAGGACTAAGATGGAATGCTTGCTTTCCAGTAAAAAGGGGCTCTGGTTCTCTCTACATTCATTATATGAAATACAGGAGACTCCCACGTATTATATGGGGAAGTGGATATTCTTACGCCGACACAACATGGCGCATTACATTGGTTTAATTAATTAATGTGACTGAGTTGGATTTGAACGTATATTTGTTGATACTGTAATATTTTTGTACATATAACTACACACAACTACTTGTAGTATTTAAAAATTGTTGTCTTGAATTTATCAATCAAAACGTCAAGAATTTATCAGTATTTTCATTGTCTGGTCAAAATAAAAATAAAACATACCAGCGGTCTCTGCTTCGATCGCATCGACGCGCTCGTCATCGGAGCCCTCGTCGTCGTCGTCATGGTCGGAGGGCTCGGAGTCACCGGCACTCTCGCCTTCCGCGCGCTCTCGCTCGCCGATGGGTCGCGTATCCTCCTCGACCTCCCCCTCTCCGCCCTCTCCACCCTCGCTCACTTGGGTCGCGAGCTTGCGCTGGAACTCTAGCTCGCCCATGCTGCGCGCCAGTAGCTCCTTTTCCTGAAGCATACACCGCCTTATTAGCCTTTGAGGTAGACATACTTGTAACTAAAAATCGTTATGATCTATTGTTTCAGAAAAAACTGCACGAATATATCGAATTGTGTGTGCAAGAAAACTGACAGATATTTTAGCTAGATAAGATGATCGTCGCAAAATTGAAACTTCAATTCTTTTTCTGACGTACGATAGGTATCGCATAAATGACAGATCGTAGTGTGTATGCGACGGGCTATATTCTACGTCATAGGTCTGTCACAGGTGAATGCCGAACCGAAAAAAACAATCAATCATGAAAAATCTTTCGACTTTCGATTGATGGCGGTATAACCATCTCGTTTACATCAGACGTAAAATACTCAGCCCGGCGTCTGGTACCGTATCGTAAATACGTCAAACGTGACGATAAGTCTTGCGGATTGAAAAATCATGTAAAATTCACAATTACAACAAAAACATTATACCTTGTACAATTCTCGTTTAGCGTCGTCGAGTATAGAATTTGGGTCATGCACGGAGTCATGACGTGTGCGTGCTTCTCGCTTCCGACTCGCTTCGTACAGTGCGTTCGCTTCCATAAGTTGTGCACGCAGATCTTCTATCTCGCTCACGTAGCCCTGGAAATCATATGGCTATTTTATCCGTTGGAGTGGTGAATTTAAAGGACAAGGGATATTATAGATTATTTTCAAAATGAGTGGGTCCTTGTTTCGTTCCATTTTTAATGAGGTTTTAGTCTTTATGAAGTACACGGATACGGTGTGTATGTACGTGTGTATTAGTGCGTATTCATAAAAATGTATTATGTAAGTATAAATGCAAGTATTTATATATGTGCGTTCGTTTGCATACGTGTGATTGCGTGGACACGTAAGTGCACATACGTGTTAGTGCGTGTACATGTAAGTACGTGTACATTATATTGGTGTATATTATGTGAGTTAATGTAAGTTTCAGAGCGAGTGCGTGTGAGTGTGTATGCGTTAGTGTGCGCGTAAGTGTATGCGAGTCGTAGTCACCTGTACGAGCGTGGTGAGGGAGCAGTCGGTAGCGTCAGGGCTGGAGTCGCGCGGCGCCCACGCGGCCAGCGCCTTCTCCGCCAGCAGCTCGCTGTTGCGCGCCGACAGCTGCTCGATGGTGTCCTGCATGGCCTTCACTCGACGCCGCAGCGACTCCACCTCGCTGGTAAGGATCGCGTTCTCTTGTACCACGTCGCTCCATCCCTCTTCGCCGTTTTCGGATACGATGCGTTTACCCTGAGGGATAAAATATTTTGGTTGCAAATATGTTGAGCAGCGCTTGCCGGTATAAACTAGAAAAATAGTTTTTCTTAGTCCGGCGAGTTATCTTGAACTGCGTAAGAGAAACCATTATCCCATTTCTTCCCGTAGGTGTTACTACACCTCCTATTGGAGGCGAATATGTTGAAATGCCAAAAAGATCGCATGGCTTATGATAGGTGCCCTCCTGCTTACGCCAGACGTAAAATACCCAGACTGGCTACAGAAAGTAGCTTAGAAGATCCATTTCTGGTACAACGATCATCAATCTGTCTATCAAGCGTGGAGATTAGGGCAGATCCTTGCTAAAACAAGAGTGGCCCATGAAAGAAAAGCAGATTTTGTGTTCTTGTTGAATTGAAATACAAAATCGCAACGAAACCGCATAAACTATGTTCTTACTTTATTAAGCTAAGCTTTCTACTGCCGTAAGCCGTTTTCGTAATACCTAGTCAGGTCATAAATTATGTCACATGTTTAATATTGAAACAAGTTTATTCATTATGTAACCATTTATATACCAAAATGAACTTAACAAAACATAGTTTCTTATGACACTAAAGTTTATTCAAAATGACCTCCGTGATTTTGAATACAGGCCTTCAATCTGTGCGGCCAGTCGTCTATCGCAGCACGAACGAGGTCCATGTCAATATCGGCGGCTGCCTTAATCAAGGATATCTTGAGTGACTCCAAATTGGGATGAGACTTTGAGCACGCCTTTTCCTCCAAGTGTTGCAATATCTTGTAATCTAACGGATTCAAATCTGGACTGGAGGAGGGCCAGTCTTCGTGCCGGATGAAGTCGATTTCACGCGCCGCCAGTCAGTCTTGTGTGCTCTTCGCTCTATGAGCTGGCGCCGAATCTTGTTGGAATACCCAGTGCCTGTTATTGAATATGGTATGAGAAACAGATTCCACAAGGTTCGTCAGGACTGTATTTTGATACACAACTGCATTCGTTTTTACACCTTTCTAACAAAAATGTACCTCTGTTAAGCCCCAATAAGAAACTTCCAAACCATACCATGAGCGAGGATGGAAAATGACCTCGTTGGACACGCGGAATATGGTTGCTCGCTTCTTCACTACTGTGTGCGTACACCTTATCATTTTGTTTGTTGTAGCTCTCTTCTACGGTAAAAATTTGTTCATCCGAAAAAAGAATTTCCCGATATTTTTTTCCCGCGTACCGCTTCAACAAAGCGCGGCATCTCTTCAGTCCAGGTCCATTAGACGAGTATTCAAACGATGTCCTGTTTTTCTTCGATATGCCCGAAGCCCTAAGTCTTCATTTAACACCCTTTTCACCGTGGTTCTGCTTAACCCCATCTGAAGGGCCAACAGTTTCTGCTTAAGTTTGGGATTTCTTTGAATTCGCGCCTTCACAGCATTTATCACTGCTGGAGTCCTAACAGACCGAGGGCGACCACTTCTTGACATGTCATCTACACTAGAGTCTTCATTGTATCGTTTGATGGTACGATAAACGAATCTTTTGGTTATATTCAAATTTTTCAGTGTGTCAAAAATTTGAATTGGCGCGTAACCGCAACGATGCAACGCAATAACTGCAACACGGTCTTCTTTAAGCGTCCACTCCATATTTAAAAATGATATAAAAATTTATTTTCATGAACAATTCGAAATTCGAATTCAATAAACTTTTTTGTGGCCAGCATTCTAAAAGAAAAGTTTTTACTGTGTGACAATACTTATGACCTGACTAGGTATAATTTAATGTAATAACGACAGTTGATGGGTTGATTTGCGACCGCAGACGTCTCGCACACTTGACACTGCTCCTCGTAGCTGGTATATAATATATTTTTTTTTATATAATATTTCATCTTTGACCTTCCTGGCATTTCTTAATATCCACTCTTACAAGACCCAAATAGATGCTACATACTCCGAGACTAAAAATTTAATTTACGTAGATCAAGATTATCAAGATTACGAAGATATTATTTAGTTACCTGTTTGTATTCGGCCAACTCCATCTGCAGCCTGGCTACCTCATGCCTCAGTTGGTTGATGGTCCTGGAGGTGAGGTCCTGGTTCACCACGCACCGGTTCTTGATGTTGCGAGCCCGATTTGCGTATTTCAACGTGTTCAGTGTCTCCATAAAGTCGCGGTCGCTGGGCGACACGCACGCAATCATTACCGTGTTGCTGTTGCCTGAATGAGAACAAAGACTTTTATTGAATATGTAAAACTAAAGTACGTTTAAAGTTAACGTATTATAAGAAATTATTAAAGACTAGCGATCCGCTCCGGCTTCGAACGGGTGATTTCTGGAACTCGATAACAACGCCACTTATCGGGTCGAAATGTATATCTAAACTATACAGGGACCCATTCAAACAACAAAATTTTATCAAAATCGGTCTTTCATGATGCATTTTGAAAGGGTTGATTATTATTTGACAAAAATTCACTGTTCACTACTACGTTACTTAGAATTTGGAGTCAGACACTCGAATATCGAGTCCAGACTACGAATTTTTACCGAAGTCAAATTTGTTGCATTTCGAGTTTGAATGTGTTGCGAACGATTTTCGTTGACTCTAAGAGGTAACGAATGCAGTTTACTTCAAATATTATCGCACTAGCGTTTATCATTACATATGGAAGGAAGTCTGCACTGCTGTGGGCCGCGGGTTCGATTCTCTCACGAACTAGATTTTGTATAGCCTACAAATAACTGTTTCGGGTCTGGATATTCATCTTTACGCAATGAGGGCCAATAATTTTCTGCTCACCAGATGTCGCGGGTTGACACTGAGGTAAAGTTTTTTGTTACACAATGTAATTTAATTGAGAACTTGTTTTTTAATAAAAGTTTATCAGTTTCTAGAGTATTATATTAATACACAAAACAATGCGTGAGTAGTTTTCTCTATAATTTTTGCACATTTTTATTTTTTTTTTAATTTTTCTACTTTTATGAATATCTGTGGTTTGGTTTATTTATTTTTTATCTTATTAATATAAAATATAACATTAACTTTTTCATTTTTTGAACAAATTAACTTCCCCGCAAAGAAATCTGTCAAATATTATACCTCACTTTCGAGTGGCGCCGCCCTGGTGGCAGAAAAAATCGTGGATGCGCTCATTTATGATACTGAAGAAATTCATATGTATAGATCTATAGCACTACAATATTATCAAGTTCCGGCGTAGTTAGTTGTCTTCGAGTTTATTCGGAAGTATTCGCTGTGGTCCATTTCGAATGGGTAAACATTAGATCAATTTCAAATATTTGAGGGACCAAGTCTTACGATCGAAGGCGGATACTATTTATATAAAATATGAAATAGTAACTAACTAGTTATTAAAGATAAAAGTATGTCAACGTGTAAAACTATAGGTGAGTTACCTCCGAGAGAATCTTGCAAGAGCCTGGTGAGCTTGGAATCCCGGTACGGAACATGTAGCACTTTCCTGGACTTGTCTCCTAATGCCGATATTACATTTCCCAGCGCCAAGAGCCCGCAGTTGATCGATATACCTTCACGAGCTCGTTCGCCTGTCGCACCTGCAACGTTTAAGAAAATACTAGTCTTCCAGTTTCACATTAAAAAAGTATAGTTGCCGACTATAGACCTCCCACAGCTAGGTTTAGCAGTCCATAAACCTTTCAGTCTCACTTCTGACAAGGTTATAGAGCAATTTTAGGAGTTTTACATTAAAGTAAAGACTTTTTATTATACACGTGGTAGAGCCATGCTGCAGCTATATTTCTGGTATAGTTGTAACACGAATGGGTCGGCTCGACCGGGGAGAGGGACCACGCTCTCACAGAATACCAGCGTTAAATAGCAGCTTAATGCTGCTATGTTTCGTATGGTGAGTGTAGAGAACCGAAGACCCTTTTTACTGGAAACGAGGCATTCCATCTTAGTCCTCACGGGTGACAACGCATCTGCACTTTGATTCATAATCGAGGATAAATGTAGATGTCTATGGGCCACAGCAACCAGTTACCATCAGGTGGACTTTGTGCTCGTTTGTCACCCTTATCCTATAAAAAAAAAACACCATTAGGTGGGATTGCTGTTTATGACTACCACGAGATAAAATGGGGCAATAGATTTAGTTACGTCACTACTAGTCTACTACAAGTACATATTATTTGAATAAACAAAAATTTTGGCGCATTAAAAATACCAAAATATACAATAGTAAAAATAATACCATTGTTACTCCACCAGAGTTTTCCCATGATCTCTTTTTATGTTTTGTAAATGAAATTATCAGGAAGCTATATATCTCTTGTCTAACATAAGCATAGTCATTTGTGCCAACAAATCAAAAGACAAACGGTGTTTGTGACCAGTCGTTTATCGCGTATTTAACACATTAATATATCATTAAGGAGACTTTAAAATAAAGCGATAAACAGCACACCGGATTTCTTTAAGTTGAAAATCTTCATATTCAAACGTTATTTTTAAAATTAAATTAAATTTCAACTTAAGCCGCATTCTGCAAACATGAAATGTGTATGTTTTAATGATATTTTTTTTTATAGAATAAGGGTAACAGACGAGCACAGTCGAGTCTTCTATTAAGAATCAAAATGTAAATGCTTTGTCATCTCTAAGGACTAAGATAGAACACCTCGTTAATACGAGTAAAAGTGGTCCCCAGTTCTCTACTCTCACCAAACGCAACGGCAATAATTTTTATTATTTTAGAATCGAAGACTGATCTGCAACATAGAGTTTTTAGTTTAGGTACAATTCTGTTTTTTTGCAAACATACTTCTTTATTTAGAAATTGTTTAAATCTTTTATTAGCTTATTGCTTTTCTAAGAACAATGTTTAATAAAACACTACTAATTATTTACTCTTTATTTATTTAGTCCTCATTGAAAGACACTTCAATAACTTAATAACTGTTCCAAAATACCAAAACTAAATCGACGAGGTGAATTATGTGCCTGTTTATCACGCCTTTTCTATATAAAACACATACAATAATTACACTCTGACTTTACCTGTTCGCTTGAGACGCTCAGAGCCGGCCAGATCCACGAAATGGAACTTGGCGGTCAGTGTCTCGTACTGTTCAGGTGTATCCGCTTCCGCGTCCCGATCCACTGTGTCCTGGTCGGTAGCCAGTCTCCTCTGGCGCAGTAGCAAAGTGAATACGGCATGAGATCGAGAAGAGGACGAGTTCATGTTGGTAGCGGCGGTGGTTCTAGCGAGGGCGCCAGCATGTAATGCCCCCAGTGCATCGTGGACACCTCTCACTGCTCGCATTGATGCTCCAACGACCCTTACTCCGCCACATCCATCTTCTGTTATCCTGAGTGCACCCTGAAAGGATAAAATAACGTAATAATAACGATAAAATAATAGTTTCGGAAACAACTTCAAGTCGCATCACTTTATTACTTTATCTATGTACTCGTAGATTACATTAATTTTGTTATTAATTCTAATGAGAAATAAATTTCCTTTAACCATAAATATTCGCAGTAGAAGGCAGAGTACACACAACATTACGTGCATAATGTACAATCAATGGAACATTAACCTGATCTGACAATAGGTCAACCAAATATTTTGTAGAATCGAAAAACATTAAAGAAGGAAAATATATTAGTAAAACAAGTATACATGTGAATACAGAAGCATTTACTCGTCTTAATGTATATGTTTATACCTACGATTTTAAATCGGGATCCTTTACGCGGTAGCGATTTAGTATAAAGGCTTTTCTAACGTTAGTTTATAATAAATCTATGTGTAAGGCGCTGCGCAAACGTAGACACTTTAGTTTCTTGTGTGGGATACAAGCTACCAGTGAATATTTTAGTTTTCATGTAATCAATATGAAATCAGCCATTCCTTGCGCAGAAGCAGACACTTTTTGTGTCCAGTTGCTTCCACTTGACATATACCGACCGCCAATCAAAAAGTATTCGGTGTATGTAACTGGAAAATATAAGTCGTCAGTTGAAGACACAAGCAACACAAAGCAAATTTCCTTATAATTAACTTTTGTACGGCGCTAACATTGACGTGGTTGATTTGCCTGTACATATTGACGGCGACGACGTCTACGTCAGCGTATAATTAACACAACAAGCAAAGTTAATATTCCTCCATCGACATCCAAGGTGAAACTGACGGAAAACAAAATTGTTACCGGTGATCAGAAGTAGCAACCGGCGACTGTGTCCGATTGCCGCTACCACAGCATCACAGCAGTTTCCTGTGATGGTGTGCCGTATCGGTAACGTAAAGTGTCTACGTTTGCGTAGCGTCTTAAAGTAACTCAAAGGCCAGTCAGTAAAAAAATATTGTTTAGTTATGTTTTTTTTTTTAAATATAGATAGAGTGACAAACGAACTACCAACCCACTTGGTTGTAAGCATTGAGTAATATATCGATGGTTGTAAGTAGCTACTGTAGGTACTCTGACTTCAAAGGAAGAAGATTGCAGATGATTTGTCACACTAAAGGACTTTTTAATAAATTGAAGTGGTAAATGAACAGTTACAGTCCACCTCATGATAAGTGCACTGCACTGTGCACTGCAGCCCATGGATAACTGCAACCGTTTTCAAACAAAGGTCTGTGTTGTCTCCTCCAAAATTTCAAAATGTAATGGCGCACAGCCTGTATTTATATATGGATCTATATTCTCCAGTTTAGATGGAAACTCAGCATTGCAATCACTGCTCTGTGGCGTCAGAAACGTTTGTTTCTTCCAGATGTCCGCGAAACAGACGCAATAGTTAAACAATCCAAATGTTCATGGGACAGGGAAAGGGTTAAACTTCAAGCCGGAGAACAGCAGCCGATGCACTAATATAAGTCAGTCAGAGTAAGTCTCCTAAGTGTGATAGGTACCCACCCAAATGGAGTCTTAGGCAAAAAGCCTTACCATATGGTACATATTATGTATAGTAGATTGTTTGCATTAGTGATATATTCATATTTAAGACATGTTTCTACTTACATAATATTATGAACATCGAATTATTGTACGTGTAACGTATTTAGAATGAACATATATACATCAATTTTATCAAAGGAAGTTCCAGTATGCACCAAAATGGCGGTATCTCTAACCGTATAGAATACTAAAATAAGATGGTTTAAAAATACCATTTTTTATTGTTTCCGCGTGACAAAAGAAAGCCCGATTATAATATTTAACGAAACAGAAGTCGACAAGTTGGAAACTTTCTATTTATTAAGCTTAGTATTCGAGTATTTTTTTTTTGCTCACGTGGTACTATAAGATCTTAATATAAATCAACGCCTCTAAAAGATGATAAATGGAACTTATCATCTTTTACAGGCTTTACAAAAATTATTTAGGATGTAAAAATTAATGAATCAATTATTAAAAATCAGTACTATTATTAATAATAATGAGACAAAATATATTAATTAAAGATATAAAACATAGTAATAAAATATGTTTTTTTAATTAATTTTAATTTTTTTTTCTTTTTTACAAAAGCAACTTTTTTGTTTCCTCTTTAATATTTACAACTGTTTCTTTTAATAATGCTCTGTGAAATAGATAGATAGAGAATAGGTTCAGCGTACGATTTCTTCAATTGGATGTCGTAAAATTTTATAAAGAGAACATTTGAGTAAAATTATTGGTATAAAAAGGAAGAATCTTTTTAATCATTGTAATCTAAGAAAAATAGTTGCCGACTCCCACGAGTAGTAATTAAAGGCGACAATGGGAATGTATCCTGTACCGTGGAGTCATAAACAAATTGCATTTGGATAAAAATCTAGACCAGGAACGATTATTTGTACGCCATACTAACACTTGTTCCGTGTGAGAATCGAACTCGGGGCCTCGTAGCGCCGTAGCCAAAAACTTACTTACTGCACTACCTAGCCGCAATATTTATAATATTACTAGCTCGCCAGGCAGACGTTTTTCTGCCCTTTCCTACGACCCATCCTATAAAAATCCTTAAATTCGCAATAAAAATTTTTGAGGGTCATTTATCGGTATAAAAACTATCCTATCTCTCAAGTTGGACCAAAATGCACACAGTGTACAAAATTTCATTGAAATCAGTTCAGTAGTTTAGGAGTTCATCGCGGACAAACAACGTGACACGTAATTTTTATATATAAAGATTTATATATTAGCGACCAAACAAAGCTTCACCTGGGTGGGGTCTATTAATGTACGTCATTTAGATTTAAGATAATCATCATAGACCATTTATTTTATCAGGCAGACTCAGACAGACAGACCAATTTTAAAAATTATTATATCTGTCTTAACAGCATGTTGACTACTCCCTGAGCTTAAAAGAAGCTAGTTATTTCTACATTACAGACAGAAACTGCAATTTTATTTATACGAGGGTGGATTGAAAAGTACTCGGCCTAACACAGATCCATTCAATTCTAAAAATCAAATCTACCCACATTATTTAGTTCAGTTCAGACTAGTTCATTGTGTGAAGTTCGAAACGTGTGCGATAATTAGTTGTGATTTTATAAATTTATTAACAAAGTAATCGGACATAATTTCCGCGAATGGAGCAAATCGAGCAGCGTGCCGTCATTAAGTACCTCCATAAGAAGGGGCTATCATCAAAAGCCATCCATGATGACATGGTCAGTACATTAGGCGATTGTGCTCTGTCATATTCATCCGTCAAAAAATGGATAGCAGAATTTAAGCGTGGTAGAGAGAGTGTGAAAGATGAACCCCGCTCTGGAAGGCCTTCGACGTCAACTACTGACGAAAATATTAAAAAAGTACTTGATTTAATAATGGGAGACCGCAGATTAAAAATTAGAGAGATAGCCGAGATTATAGGCATCTCTTATGAACGAACTCAAAACATCATTGTCAACGAGTTGGGTTTCCACAAGGTGTCTGCGAGGTGGGTTCCGCGACTGCTTTCAGTTGAACAAAAAAGGATGCGATTGACTATTTCACGCGACTGTTTGGAGTTATTTGAAGCCGATGCAGATGATTTTTTGAATCGTTTTGTTACCATGGACGAAACATGGGTTCATTACTGTACACCGGAAACAAAACAACAATCAAAACAGTGGAGAAGACCTGGTTCACCACCCCCTAAAAAGGCTAAGTCGATTTTGTCGGCAAATAAGGTGATGGCTTCAGTATTCTGGGACTCGAAAGGTGTGATTATGATTGATTATCTTGAAAGGGGTCAGAATATAAACTCTGATTACTTCTGCACCTTACTACGTCGTTTACGAGAAGAAATAAAAGAAAAACGTCGAGGAATGCTCAGAAGAAAAGTCCTGTTTCATCAAGATAACGCCCGTGTTCACACGTCAGTACAGTCAATGGCTGAAATTCACAACTGTGTCTTTGAACTGTTACCGCATCCGCCGTATTCACCTGATCTGGCACCATCAGACTTCTTTCTGTTCCCTAACCTAAAAAAGCACTTGGGAGGTCAAAGATTTTCGACAAACGACGAGGTCAAAGTAGCTGTAGACGCATATTTTGACTCTAAGGAAGAATCATTTTTTTTCAACGGTCTAAATGCTTGGAAGGGGAGGTGGCAAAAGTGTATTGAACTTGATGGTGATTATGTAGAAAAATAAAAATATAACTGATTTAGTATTTGTTTATTTTCTTGGTTAGGCCGAGTACTTTTCAATCCATCCTCGTATTTGTAACGTAATAGACGGTTTTCATTTAGTGTATCACTAAGAAAGTGACAAGTGAGTGCGCTGATAGCGGACATGTTTACCAAAGAAAATAAAAAAGATCACGGACTTTCTTTCATTAATTTTTTCTTTCAAATTAAGTACATAACTAAAGAGAAAAGAAATGCTTGTTATTTTTGCGATAGCACGCCATTAGAAAATTAGCAATTAAATAATTATTGGTTACACGGCGGCGCTATCAAAAGAGTTTCTTTTTTAGCAGTAATCTAGTGCACATAATTAAGTTTTATCATAAATAAAGCAGCCTTTAACAATCAACAATAATGGAACGCTATTTTTAATACGCCTTTATTATTTATATATTTTTTTTTTATAGAAATAGGGTGACAAACGAGCACACAGTCCACCTGATGGTAAGTGGTTACTGAGGCCCATAGACATCTACATCTATCCTCGTTTGCGAATCAAAATGCAGATGCGTTGTCAGCCTTGAGGACTAAGATGGAATGCCTCTTTTCTAGTAAAAAGGGTCTCCGGTTCTCTACACAGCAGCGTTAAGCTACTATTTTACGCTGGTATTCTGTGAGAGCGTGGTCCTTTACCGGTCGAGCCGACCCATTCGTGTTACAACTATACTATAAATATAGCTGTAGCATGGCTCTACCGCGTATATTTTAATTTAAATATCACCCATACATACCTTAGCAAATGGGTCCTTGGCGGGGTCAAGCAAGTCGACGATGTCCTCGTTATAGAGCTCGATGAACTGTGCCTGAACGGAGAATTCTGGCGGCAGATTTCCCTGTGCCCGCGCCGCTTCGGCTCGCTGTTCGGCGCCCGCGAAAAGGTCCCGGATTGCTCGCGGGATGATGCCTCGCCGAAACTCATCGCCGTCGCCTTCACCCTCCCACCCACTGCCCATTGTATACGTTTTCCCGGAGCCTGTCTGTGGACAAGAACCAGAGATTAATCATTCCCGATAATTAATTTGAATAAAACTAAGTTACGATTGATACCAAATGGTTTTTTTTTCCAGAAATGATGTACTGACACACGTCAGTCTGTATTATTTTAAATAAATTTATAACTACATAAGCTACATTTCTACTATAAATAATATACACGTCAGACGCCGCTGGTAATTCCACATAACATTCCAAAACTCACTCCTTAAATTTTAAATACGAATATGTATTTGCGTATTATAATGATGCCGAGTTTCACCTAAAGAAAATGTCTGGAAGAGACCACGATATCCATAGATCAAAATCGATATTTTATTTCAGTTATATAATAATACCAAAAAAATTACTTATTCTACAAAGTCACTGTTGTTGCTGACATTAGCAATAAATAACCGACACGTGGTACTTTAACTGCATTATCAAGCGAGGCGTCTATCCGTCTGTTCCGATGCGTGCGTGCCCGCAATACCAAGAGAACGGCTATTGAACATACATATAAAATAAGTGTTTTTTAAAAATATTATAAAGGCAATCATAGACAAAACTCAAGGACGTTATAATATTTTATTATGCCGTTTTAACGGTCATTTCGAGAGATGTAGAAGGTAACGGCTGTTGACTAATAATTCTAAACGTTTTATATAAAAATACTTCAGTATGTCTGGGATGAATTGCAATCGACGATACGTATAACTCTTCTTCATATTTTAATTTTATATTCACACTTAGCATTATCATGTTATGTGCTTAATTGTACTATTTTTTTTTGTAAGAATACTTTGAAAAACAAAATTGTTTTGAAGTGATAAGATCGCTTGTTCTGCTCTAACTATTGCTTACGTATTTTTATTAATGTATCTGCCTCTCTGGTGTACAATATTGGAGTACAATAAGCAATATTAATATCATAGAATACTATATTGTGTATGTATTATAGTATTCTACGAATAATATAGAGTACTAAGCAAGAAGTGATACGCAGCCCACATAAATGTGAATATCCATTTGTCACTTCAGTTTAATAAAAAAAAATAAGGCTTTCTTATTTTTATGCGAGCACTAAACATTTCAATTAAACAAATTTTTAAAAAGTAGCTTCATTTAAAAAATAAGTCTTAATACATGAAATATATAAAATATAAATATATATAAAATATAAATTTATTGTAGGTATATAAATATACCTACAATAAATTTAGGATCTAGGTGTTAAAATAAAATTCAATTCATTCTTAATTTTTATTTCTTATTCGGTTCTAGACAATGGATAATCACATTAAATTTATCAAACAGCAAATATGGTACCAATATCTTGCATGTAAAAAAGTTTAAGTAGGTACATAGGCACAATGAAAATATATAAAAAATATAAACAGAGAATTTGTCAAAGCATTTACTTTCAATCAGATAGGAGAATACAATGGTGAAGTGAAAGTTCGGCACAGTGATGCGAAACTACTAGATACCCATCTATTCAAAAGCAAGAATTTTATCAGCGATTTAGTCTATCGTAAAGCGAGTGATTCAGAGCGGAAGTCTTTCTTTTACCATTACTTACCTATTAACGGATGTTCGAATACATTGTAAGTGCAGAGATGTTTTTTTTTATAGAACATGGGTGACAAACAAGCACACAGTCCACCTGACGGAAGTGGATGCCGTGGCCCATAGACATCTACATTTATCCTCAATTAAGAATCAAAATACAGATGCGTTGTCACCCCTAAGAACTGAGATGGAATGCCTCCTTTCCAGTAAAAGGGGTCTCCGGTTGTCTGTCTATACTCACCATACGAAACAGCAGCATTAAGCTGCAATTTTACGCTGGTATTGTGTGAGAGCGTGATCTTGCCCGGTCGAGCCGATCCATTCGTGCGGCAACCACAATACAACTGGAGCATGACTCTATCACGTAAGTTTGATTGATGAGAGAGAGAGATGGAGGCAGCATTTAAAAATCAAAATTACTAAAAGCCATCATCTGTTGTAGGTAGGGTTGTCAACTTATTTATATCAAATATATTATATTTGATATAAATAAGTTAATATTCTTATATTTTGAGTCCTGAGACGTGTAAAAATATAGTAGATGGCGAAAACATAAAATATGGTATGTTTCAAGAGTTTGGAGTGACAACCTGGTAAGACATGCAGAAGTCAATGGATGCAAGCGATTAAGGACTGTTTTGTTTGTGGAATTATTTGGGGGAGCCCTATGTTCAGCATTGCAATTATGCAGGTCTGTAGTAATAAAATAAAGTTGTAAAGAACTATTTAATATTTTAAAGAAACATTTCTGCTGTTTTGTCTTTGCTAATATTAGCAAATAATTGTCTTTGCTAATATGGCTCCCCAAATAATTCCACAAAAAAAACAGTCCTTAATCGCTTGCATCCATTGACTTCTGCATGTCTTACCAGGTTGTCACTCCCAACTCTTGAAACATACCATATTTTATGTTTTCGCCATCTACTATATTGATTTATTAAGATTACTTATCAAACTGTTTGTGTCTAACAACTTCATAATTTTATCGATTATGTTGTTAATGTCTTCTTCATTACAGTTTGCTTCTTATCAGCGGTGACAATTTTTTTTATAGGATAGGGTGACAAACGACCACACAGTCCACCTGATTGTAAATGCTTGCTGCGGTCCATATACATCTACATCTATCCTCGTTTGCGAATCAAAATGCAGATGCGTTGTCACCCGTGAGGACTAAAATGCCTCTTTTCCAGTAAAAAGGGTCTCCGGTTCTCTACACTCACCATATGAAACACGGCAGTGTTAAGCTGCTATTTTACACTGGTATTCTGTGAGAGCGTGGCTCTACCACGGTCGAGCCGACCTATTCGTGCTACAACTATACTACTAATATAGCTGCAGCATGGCTCTACCACGTAAATATTACAATTACTAAAATATCGTCTGCAATCTGCAAGTAAAATACATAATATGATACTGGTGACTAGAATTATATCATTTATATAAGAACAAACTGTATTAATAATTACTTGCGATCATTTATTATAGTAATGAACAGTATAAGAATTCTCACATTGTTACTTATTTTAGCCCTCTCCTCCCCTGTGAATAAATGACCTTTCGTACATTATCTTTAGGTTTCCAAGTGACTATTATTTTCTTTTCTTTCAATTTCGTTTTCTTATGTTCAATTTGTCCGCAGTTCCAATATGTGGCATTAAACTATAAATATAGAGTTATTTTCTAAATATTTTTATTTATTTATTTATACACTTTATTGTATAAAAGGTAAGGTACAAATGGCGGAGTTAATGCCATATGGCATTTCCTACCAGCCAACCGGAAAATAAGTGGGAGAAGTGTGTACTGCATTGGGTTAGGACGGAAAACCTAAAATTGATAAAATTCACACACACACACACACACACACACACACACACACACACACACACACACACACACACACACACACACACACACACACACACACACACACACACACACACACACACACACACACACACACACACACACACACACACACCACACACAAGCACACGTGTAGATCATACTTCCTTAAGGGGCTACTCCATGCGAACGACCTTGAGCATTTTGCCGGCGGCACGTCGCTCGCCTCAATATATTGCTTATTTGAAATATGTACGACGCCACCACCTATTGTAGGTACGAACGTAGTATTATTTTTTCAACATCAATGAACTAATTTATGGAAATACACACAGCCAAAGATGTTTTATAGGTCATAAAATATCTTTGCACACAGCGTACAACGATAAATGTATTTTAATTTTTTTATTCGGTATATTAGTTGCATTATATTAGAATTATGTATTTTCATATATTATCTAATTATGAAATTTTATAATTAATTATATATTAAAAATGAAGCATTGAAAATTATGAGTTTAAAAGATACCTATTCACTATAGGTAAATAAATAGATAGCTCGCCTTTTGTACAAATATTTGGTGCAATAAATAATAAATAAATAAATAGGATGTTTCGTAGATGTGTTTTTGATTATTGTTAATTTTTACGTGTCACGTATTGAAAAGTAATGTACCTAACTACTAATACAAAAATCAACAAGATGTATAAGGGTTCAATCTTTCAATTTCAATTGTAAAAAAACGTTACCCCCACACTAGGATTTTCTCCTGTGTCGTGGAGGCAGTTTACAAACATAAATTGCACAAGGACAAACATCCAGACCCGGAACAATTATTTGTAAGCCATACAAATACTTGTTCCGTGCGGGATTCGAACCCGCGGCCCCCAGCGCAACAACTAATTGCTAATCCACTGCCCCACGGAGCCGTCGCCGGGTTATAGCTAAAGTGACCACACGTCCCGTTTTGAACGGGACTGTCCCTTTTCTGGGTCACCTGTCCCATTGTCCCCAAACAAAGCTCCGGGACACAAAATTGTCCCGTAACTCGTTGGATGGAAGTATTCAAAGTCAACAATCTTCAACATAATTTTTTTTAATCGAATATATTTTATGTCTACCTGGTACGAATGCTCCGGTAGAAAGAGTTTTTTTTTTATTTTGAATAAATTGTGGACGTCTGAAAGAAACACTTACGGTTCCAGAGTTCTAAAGGCGATGTTGTTAACAAAGATAACAATAAAAAAACTTGAGCAGAATTTTATTTTTATTTAAAATCATCACTAACTTTATTAAAGAAAATTTAATCCACTGACAAATGTAATTAATAATTAAGAAAAATATGTTGCATTTAATAATTACCGTCTATACCGAATATAATTTTACAGTGAACACTAATTGTATAAAGTTATAGTTTTTAGAGTATAAATAAACCCATGTCCTGTTTTGAGTTAAAAAATAAATGGTCAGTTTAGTCTTTTTAGTTAAATTTAGTTTTAAAAATTTTTAGTTTATAGTAAAAAGTAGGTATATTAGTACTTTTTACCGAATTATAAGTATAGAACACCTTATGTACTCAATTAT